GGTAGGCACCTCAGCGGTCCGGGCCAGTTTATTTCCCTGCTGATGCGGCAGGTTTGCCCGATCGCGGCCCCCACTGGCCGCGGTTCACCGCCAATGGGGTGGCGGGAAGCCGTGGCCAGCACATCCCTCGGCCCGCGCCGCTTCCCGCCGCCCCCATTGGCCCGGGACGACGAACCGTGGCCAGTGGGGGCCGCGATCGACCGAACCTGCCGCATCAGCAGGTAAATAAACTGGCCCGGCCCGCTAGGGTGCTTACCCTGGCGAGCCGCGTGCCAAACGTTGCCGACCCCTGGTCTAATGCCTGTCCTGAATATCTGGTCTTAGAACAGTTCAATACGTGACAGTCTCTATATACCATTTATACGGAGCAAGAGTGAGAAGACAGCTGGATTGTTGAGGCTGCCTGGGCTCCTAGAGCTGCAGTGTGAGGGGGTAGCCAGCAGGCAGTGCCATTGCATTCACATCTTGAGATATAGTTCGGTGAAGTTGTGCACAAGTTACTTAATTTTTATGTGCAACCATGGTAAGTTGGATTCATTTGTTGGTTCTCCTGAAATCACGTTAATAGTACCATCTAATTGGATTATCTCGGTCTTGACCATTTTGTGTTTGGATATGTACATAAAATGATTTACTTCAGATCATCATTGGACATGAACTTCTTTCTAGGAGACATAGATATCCTGGAGATGCACATGGACATATTCTGCTGTCACTTTCTTCATAGTAAAGCCAGTGGAACTCCATTGATTTTAATGGAGTTACCAGGCATACATTGGCATAAATGAGAGCAGGAATATGGCCCAGTTGCCTAATGTCTTAGTGATACCAGTAACATCATGTCTTTGACTAAAAAATGCTATTGCTTCTTTGTCTGTTTCTAATAGTATAAGAATTTCTAGTAATATTATTTATATCTCATGGCAGTTAGGAAATGTCTGTGACAAACTGCCGGCTTTGTTGAGACAGGAAATGTTGGGCTTTCCAGAATATACAATAACAGGCTCATTGCAAGATCTCATGGGATTTCCCATGCCATTTCCACTGAAAAGCCTTAGTCAGAAGATACACTTTCCTTTAGACTTCACTGTTTCCAACACTTTTTTTTGTAGCAGCCTTACACAGGCCCCCATTGTAAATTGTC